TAGTGAGCTTGACTGCGTGGCCGACTGCACACAGCTCCCTAAGCAGCCTAGAGATCAGCACTCCTTCCACGAGTCCCATTTTGTCCTGCCATTTTGGTGTATGCTGGTCACATTCCCTTATGTTGTATATTTGGAATGTGGTGGTTGTGACGCTGATTAGAACTGGATATGCTGGGCATTTTGGTTACTGCAAAAAGCATGAGAGCTCATTAAATCCTGAAAAGGGCACAGCATATTTCCTGGGAATTTGAAGAATACAACGTGGCTAAATTGAATGAAAACAAAGACAAAACAAAAGGACCTGACTGTGGTATCTAAATAGTAGTGAGAATTTTATTATCTGATAAAACATTTTTTGGATCCATGAGCAAAAGCATTTACGATAGGTCTACACAGTTCCACATGCCTCCAAAACAAACAAACAAACAAAAAAAAACCTATCTCGTTCCCAATAGCCAAAACACTTCCTTCTTCACCCTAAGGAGGAGCAGGAAATTATAGCTACCCAGCTACCTTTCCTCAGGCAGGGCTTCTCAGAGTCAGTACTACTATATTTGAGAAGAAGCAGTCCCTTATTATGGGGGCTGCCCTGCACAGCAACCCCTAGAATCTAACTGCCAGTGGCACTCCCTACCCAGTAATGGCAACGTAAAATGTGTCCAGGCGTTGCCAGATGTCCTCTAGGGACAAACCATCTGTGATTGAAAACCATTGTCTTAAGTGACCACAGGCACTTCCCAGCCTGCCTTCAACTCCTGAGCAGTCCGACCTCTCTCAGACTCATTGTCAGACCCCCTTTCCCCTGTCTCTATACATCCCCACTTTGTACGTTTTCCATTGTGTCCTGAGGACACATGCCAACTGGAGTGAAACCTCTGACAGACTTGGACTTCATGGAACATTCCTTGCTCTAACCCAGAACTAAAGGACGCTACTGTCTAGAGCCCTGTCATATTGCATGGCAGGCTCTTCCCTTACACTTCACACTTTCACCCTTACACCCCACATTTCCCTTTGTGAACTGCAGACCCTTTACCACCAACTGCCCTCATGCCCTCAGGAAAGTCAACCCCTTGAAATAGGAGTTGACAAACACCACCTCTGGGCCCAATCTGGTCCACCACCTGTTGTACAGTCTGTCAGCTAAGAATGTTTTCACATTTTTAAAAAGAAAAAGCATCAAAGGATATTTCATGGTGTGAGAAACTGAAAATTTAGTGTACATAATATGTTTCACTGGAATGCACCCATCTTCATTCCCTTACCTGTTGTCCATGTCTTTTTTCCTGCTCAGATACAATTCAGTTGAGTAATTGCAACGAAGACAACCTGGCAGGCCAGGTTAAACACACTTATTACATGGCCCTTGACAAGAGAGCGTTTCCCTCCCTGGCCTTTGAGACACGTGGCTGTGGTCTACACCACAACTCCCAGCCAGCGTGAGCATCGTTCCTGCCCCGTCCCTCTTCTATGCACATTGAAATATGCACAGGATGGAAAGCTGGATAGCACAAAGGTCAGGGACTGAGGCAAGTTCAAATGACCTCTATTGGTTGGAATGTTGTGTAGACAGCAACAGGATGAAACTTGAAGTTTATATATTAAGTCCCACGCATTACCAGAGAAACTTGCATACAGAACAGGAAAGAGACCTGGTGTGTATTGAGTGGGGTAGGAACCAGGATGAAGAGGAAAGCATCATAGGGAAATTTTGTTCATTTAATGGAATACCAAGCAAGAATAGAGCTTTAACATTATGGAAAAAATTGAAGTCAGAAGACTTTCCTAGTAAGCAGGAAGGTTCAAGGACAGAATGAGAATGAGGTGCCTTAGGGAAGAGTAGCTGAGCACTACTCAGACGTGCAGAGAAAGGGCAGCAGTTCTGGGCCACACAACCTTGAAGACATTTTATTTCTAAGACGATATACTATTACAGTATAAACCATAAATACTACTTTTTTAATTAGATGCTAAAAATAATTTTCTTGGTAAAAAATGAAAGCACCAACCTTTTTTTTCCCTGGCAATCAAATCCAAGAATTTTCAACACAAAAATGAAACTCATTATCGCACATAGTCACTAAAATACTTTTGAGTTACAGATGACCAACAGCACTCATACCTTCTCTGGTAAATACTCTGTGTAGAGTTCTATTTATTAAGAGCCCAAAATAAAAACTATGTGAATTTAAGAGTCCCACTAGACCTTCAAGCACATCGCATAGCCAGGTAGACTTACATCTGTTAAGGAGACTGAGATTTCTCCTTTTCAGCTCTTTAAATGTTTAGATTTACCCTCAGTAAAGACACTTCAATACAGTATGCAAATCACAGTCCTTCTCTAACTAGTCAGAGGTGCACACACATCTTGCTCAGTGATTGATTAGGAATGGCTGGTTGTGAAGTGGTTTTGTATCATTGGAAATTGAAAAACAAGAGCCACATTTGGGCTTGATCTTCTATTCAGCCTAGTTCTACAAATCATCACAAGACTTTCAGCCCAACTGTTCTGAAACTTGTAAAATGAGGTTAATGATACTGCCCAATCGGTATCCTACAGGGAATTAAATTTAAGTGATAAATAAGGACCATCTGAATGTAGAATACCATCTATATTTCACAACAGCATAAATCTCTCTCTGGCTTTTATCATATTTCCATGTTCTTTTCAAATGTACAGGTTCCCCTCACTGTCTGAATATAGAAGGCTCCTATTTGGTATAACTTGGTAGATGACAATGGGGAATGTTATCATCATTAATGTACTGAGCTTTTTAGCACTCCCAGGCTCCCCAAATCCCTACTTAATCATACCAACTAGGAATGTCTTACTTTTAGATAATAGGGGAAGCCTGTGTCATAATTAGTTGGGTCACAATTATAAAATTCCTCTATGTGACATATGTGCAGTGTGCTGCTGCAAATTAGCAGTGGGCCAGAACATTCACTTAGATGAAGAGTAATTTTGGCCAGGCATGCGTCTGTGTGTTTCAAGGTCTACAGGAAATCTAATACACTGAGCTACTTGATGCCAAGGTGCTATATTGGGCTGCAGACATTGAGCAAGGGACTAAGCTGCGCCTTCAGGGATCATTTCCCATTTTACTTCCCATCACCTTTTTCCTCTATTCCACCACCTGTGGTCAACACTGACTTGACCTTTAGGGGCTACAGGGCACACGCCACCAGTAGGTTTCATGGATGAAGCCACTTCATAATCATCACAGTGTATTAAATGTCATCTCTCTTTACAAACTGAAAAGTATATTTTTGTCAAATATGCTACCAGATTTACATTTAGTAAAATGTAATGTATGTTTCATTAAAGTGAGAAATCAGTTCTAATTGAAAAGAATAAGATAAGCAGACTTTGGAGACATACCTGTGGCTCCCATTCCAGATCCCACCAAGCCGCATATGTCAAAACTGTGACCCCAGTGACCACAACGCATTGTCACCTGAGCACACAACATATAGACCTTCAAAGAAACTAACAGCAAGAAGTAGACCAGGAACAGGACACAGGAACAGGACATAAGTCACGCAGAGCAAGAGAACACCAAGGCTGCTGACAGGTCCCCTTCACTCCCTTTGCTCCTTTGGAGGTGTTAAGCAGTGGTTTTTCATCTGCAACTGTCTCCATGACACTTCTCAAGCCTCAGCTAGAAGCAATACGGAAAGCTTCAGTGTCCGTGAGCACTGAGTTTCTAGAACCTCTCGGGTCACGAAATACAATGTCTGTGGTGGATGTTCGCATTCCTCCATCAGTGTAGCTGTTTAGAAGTTCACTGAACTAGCGCTTTCTGGACACAGAAACTGAAAAGCCTGCATATGGAGGGCTGGGTGGTAGAGATGGTGCCAACATGGGTGGAGACGGGCATCACTCTCAGACCCATCCCTCCTTTTCCTTCTATGTCAGGAGGCACCCAGGCATGTGGGCTGCTCCCTGTGCAGATCCAGACTCCTTTGGATCTGTGGTGTTTGGGGGAAGGGGGTTGTCCCTTAGGGATACAGAGGAACTCTTGATCAAGTTCTTTCTTAAGATAATCCAACTTATTATGAGTTATTTCCTTCATCCCATGCAGACTCATAGCATATATTGGGTTCCCAAGTAGAGCTATGTGATGAGAGAAATTGCTCCAAACAAATGATGGGTACAGGGCTTCTCCCCTGGGGGCCGCAAACAGGGATGCCCTGCATCTGGTGTTAACAGCAACCCTGGTAGGCTTGGCTGGCTTGGACTGGTCCGCAGAGCCCCTTCAGCCTAGTCAGTCAGGAACACCCAGCAAGGCAGCCAGCGCTGGCCCAGCCCCGGGGCAGCCTGTGGCTCTGAGCTACAGAACTTTTGCACTCCTATAGATTCTATCAAACTTTTATTTTGAATATATCCAATTTCTCATGGTATTGTCAATCTTTCTATTTCTTCCTACTTAACTTCCTCATTCCTACATCCCAGCCCAGAGGAGGGATTCTAAGGACAGAAAGCACCCCTTCCATTCATGTATCTTCATGCCATCAAAAAGTCCTGGCATGTAATCTATACCAGAACTCAATAAAAATGTTTGCTGAGTAACCATCAGAAACTGACGACATTAGTACTCAGTGAGATGTGTATCGATAGATTTAGTACATCCATGAATAGGTTTATCCTCAAGTATACTTCTGAGGTTCTCAAGACCCTTCCAGCCCCTCATCTGTGTGGTGGCACACCATCTAGGCCAAAGCTTTGTACCTTGGATTCTTTTCTATTGGCTAAAGCATGGTTTTCCTGAACAGATTAACAGAGCATAAGTGGGTGAAAGAGAATTCATGTGGTCAGTGAGAGCAAATCTGAGCATTTCACTAGGGCCACCCTGGCTGGAAAGTTCCATGGGAATCGGTGGTGTTTTAAAGAGTGAGGGAGTAAGTTAGGAGGAGGCTTTGTGGCCAGCAGGAAGGGGCTGGTGGGCCCCTGTGGGGTGTGGCCTCCGTCCACCTGCCTGGGTCTGGTTAGTGCTTACTTTTCGCAGAGGTCTCGTACTTGACTGGTCTTGCAGCCTGGAGCAGTCTGGGAGCAGGGGCTGGCAGGAGCCGACAGAGGACTCTTGATATTCTGTACGGAGTGCCTGCGGCTGCGCCTGCGGTCCAGGCCCCTGGGCTCGCCCACTCCACCAGAACAGACGCTGGCTCGCCGCCGGTCCCGGCGCCCGCTGGGGGGCGGCTCTGCAGTTTCATCACCATCCTCCAGTCTCAGCGCCATCTGAAAAAGCAGAACATGTGCAGTGTGAGGTCAGTCTCAGCGCCTTTCCCAGACCTCAGCTGTGACGCTGCGCTTTAGACTGGCCTTAATGAGGACTTCACGCTGTCTTTTCCCATCCTCCCGGCCTCAGCTCCTGCGCAAGCCCTCACAACCACATGGGCTCAAAACACACTCCACAGTCTAAAAGAAGCTGACTGTGTGGTTATTCCCAATCCCAGGGCTGTGAAAAGGACAACTTCTCTCATGCACCCTGAAGTGCAGACCATCCTGCCATCCAGGAGCAGCTCTCCTGGCCCGCCCTGGCTTTTCACTTTTGCAGAAGAAAAGTTCCTCCAGAAGCACAGGGTGTGGGGTCCCAGAAGTTCCTGCACTTGCTCTCCTGGACATGGTGCTCAGATGAACAGAGCCCAGAGTCTGGTCAGGATGCTGAGGCTGGAATAGCCCAGGGCATCCCGGCAGGCTTTGCGCCTCCCCTACGTCATGTGCCAGCAGCCCCCCTGACAGCACTGCCGTTCTCGGGGTCCCTCAGCAGCATGCCCTCAGGCCTGGTAGAACCTCTAGTTTCACTAGACAGTTCACATATGCAAGACACAAAAACATATGCCAGAAATACTTGAATCCCGGAAAAGTTATTAAAATTTTTCTTTGTGAAGTGATTCGTATTTGTGCTGAATAATTGGTCACTTCAGGATTTTGTGGAAACCTGAGCCTAGGAACACCACCCACATACCCCTGCCCACTACCAAGGGATATCTGAGTTCTGCTTCTAGTTGGTGCCCTTTCAGAAGCCTAGCATGGCCATCTTTTCACCTCTCTCTGGACTGGATCCTACCCCTCAACTTTCTCACTCACATAAACAGCTTCTGTCTTTACCCTGCACACTTCAGCTCACCGGGGCAGTCAGCCTGCTCCTTACCATGTGCACCTCCCCAGCCCTGGTTGTCCCCACCTCTGTCTGGATGGATTCTCTCATATTTTTAGGTCCACTTTCTTCAATACTAGACAGTAAGATTTACATAGTTTGGTGTTGAGTAGGCCGCTGGGTGCATGCTGGTTGTGCCGTCAATAAACCAGAAATGACCTGTAGCAAATTACTTGCCCAACAAATGATACCTTGCATTTGCAGGTGTGTGATAACAATAGCTCACATAAAGACAACTTATATAAAGAAGCTAAAGCAGGACCTGTGCTGTGACCGCTATATATTACTAAATATAGCAGTCCTTCTCCCTCCAAAGCCCTGAGATGAAGGTGTTGAGCATAACCACACACAAAGCTGGCAGGCTAGACCACCTTACAGTACAGATGAACCAGTCCAACAGTCTCACTGCATTGGTCATCACAGAGTCTTATGGATACCTGTTCCCAAAGGTATAAATTCTCCAGGCCCTAGATGATCTAGGTCCCATCTCACATGTTCAACCTGACATGTAAGAGAATGTGGAGGTATATAAAGACCAGGTAGCTAACTGTACCCTATGACGAGGCACAGCAAATCTGGCTGTTGCAAAATCAGTGGTCCCCTCTGTCCTAAGTTCTGACAGCTGTGTTCACCTATCACAGGGAGGTTAACTGAGTCAAGAACACATTAGCCACCTCATCCAGACCTGATACCTGAGACATGGCCTACTTCATAGTTGAGCCTTTACTGGTCTCAACTCTAGTTCCCTCCAGCTCTCGCTTTTGGAAAGAGTGATTTAGTGAAACTCTATGTGCCAGATATGGTTTATAACAAACTCTCAGATCTATAAAGAGAATTTAATAGTTTTTGACTATTTTGTTGCCTTAGAATTTAGTAGTCAGCCATCATTTGGGAAGGGTTAGTGTAAGAAGAGATAAGAGTTTGGCAGAAGTGCTACTCCTATAAAATTCATTAGAAAGTCTCTTTTCCAGGGTCCCCTCCCCAGTATAACTGCAAGAACTAAAAAAGAAATTATGCATTTGGTTAATCACATATCATCACCTCAACTTTAATGCTTCAAGTGTCACTGTCTGGGGCAAGTTTGAGAATGATTATCCACCTAACCAAGGTCAGTATTTTAAACTATTTCTAGCCAATCATTTTCCCTCAGTTTTAGATTTAAAAATTCGAGACCAGCTGAACTTACCCTGACCTGAAGTATTGATTCTGCTTCTTATTAAGCACACATTTGGAATGATAAGATTAGAAGCTAAAGGAGAGTTCAGATATTTCTAATTCTTTGTCTAACCTCAGAGATCAAGGATCAAATAGCATTCAGTTCACAGCTCCTTTCAGGGAGAAACACAGTGTTCATGAGATGAAATCCACTCTCACTGCCTTTTGTCAGTAACAGAAACCACAAGAACCTTTAAAAGTCTGCACAAACTATCAAAGGAACACCAAAAAATAGAATTCAGTTGAGATTTTCTAAGATTCAAGTCCTCCACAAAGCATCTTTTTCAAAAAAGCAAACTGTGCTCAGAACAGGTGGTTGGGGCACAGAATTCCAGGATTCCTAGTGGCAGCCTGGCCATCAGGGACAGGGTAACAGGAAATTTGGGGCTGGTAATCACGGTTTAGTTTATGTAACAACCATCCTGAGTCCCCAGTGACCACTAGTAACAGAGACTGCACTTCTATATAAAGGATTGCTGAACTCATCAGACCCTGATGAGGTGAACAGCAGGCTAGAGTCAAAAAGCTGGAAGATACCTGGAGAGCACAGCACTCACCACACATTTATTCAGAACCCTTGGTGTCACGTTTAATCAACCACAAAGTGCAATGTGAGTCCTCCATGGGAATGCAGGGTGAGACTGGCTCTGTCCAGAAAGTGCCATCTCTCCCACATGGTGGTGGGGTCCATTTGCTGGGCCTTGTTAAGTGCCTTCTAACTCTTTGCATTAGTGTAGAACACTGCTTGTAAATTAAAAAGGAGATGAGGAGCAAGCAGGTCCTAGAATCCAGCACTGACCACTTGCATGCTCATACTGAGCAAATATCAGGAGCAGATTAAGATGGTTTCTGTGGCCACTTCCTTTCTTTGTGATGACATTCTTCTAGACACTCCATTATAGAAATTTTGAAACATACACAGAGTAGGGCACAGACACTGATGTGCTCTCACCCTTGATAACTGAACAATGTCCACCTCCTGGTTGAGCCTGCCTCATTTATCTCCCATTCTGCATGCCTGACCCCACAACCAAACGCTTTTAGGGGTAAATCTCAGATCATCTCACTTCATCTGTGAGTATTTCCGTACACAGCCCTAACAGGGTTAGCCATAACCACTCTACCACTGTCCCATTGAAACCAGTTTCTTCTTATCAACAAATAGATGATAAACTAAGTATTCTTGATAGAGGTGAAAAGCTATTGGTATTTGAGTTTATATCATATTATAATCCTTTTCCATATCACTTCCCCTTTTGATCTTTACCTCTGTACCTTGTCAGGTGAAAAAGATGCCAATGCCATTCCAGGAAGGAGCCAAGGTGAGGACCTGGCAGATCACTACAGAACTGGGCTTCCACAGTCATGCCTCCTGTTTTCTTACCCTTGTGTACTTCCATCTACATCGAGTCTAGGATTATCCCCTTGCTTTGGCCAACAGAACATCAGCAAAACAATGCATACCAGAGGCTTCTAAAGTGCCTTGGAATTTGGCCTTCTGAAATGCTACTACCATATGAAGAAGTGTGAACTTGTTTGCCGAAGATATAACCTAGCCAGGAGCACCAAATGGTAGGCCAGGTGAATGAGCTTACTTTAGACCACTCAGCCATCAGCTAACTGCAACTGCATGAGACTCACTTAGCTTATCCAGACCCAAGTTTTCTGACCCACAAAATCATGAGCAATAATTGTTTTAGACTACTAAGTTCTGGTGCATTTGCTATGAAGCAAGAGTTAATGGGTACACATTTTATTTTTAATCACTCATGACAAGGAAGGAAGGATCTTAAGAGACTGGATCTATTAGTTAATTATTCCTAAATGTAACTCCTCACCCTCAAAGGCCTTCAGATGCTGCCTCCATTACTAGGACCACATTTTCTGAATCAAAAATGAGAACACATAATCTGACAAAAGTTTTTCATTTTGATTTGTGAATTTAAGTATTTGAAAATTCATGTGAAGTCATAAAAATTCAAATGAATTTAGTTAAACATGGATTAAATCACCTTTCTGAAATGGAATTAAATTTCATGGAACTGAGCCAGTCCCCACAAGTCCAGGACATATGGCCACCAGACATCCTGCACCATGACGGAGAATTCTAGAAGCCCAACCAAGTTCTCAGCAATTGTTTGAAAACATTCATGGGCTTTGGTGAGGAAAATACTGGCTGTACTTGTAGGCCTCCTTGCCGCCCCTAAAAATACTGAACTTAGTTGCCCTGTGGCAGAAAACACTTTTTAAAAACTGCACTAAAATTTCTGGAAGACATAAAGTCCTGACTCTGTCTGGTATCTAACACATTCAGTGGCCACCCAGTTATTATTCAAAACATCTTCCCTCTAAGGTAGCGCCTATCTGATAAAGTCACACCTTTCTCTCAATCCAGTATCTAGCAAAGATCATCATAAAATGTGTCGTATTTAAATTAGATCTCCATCAATGCACTTACTGAACTTCAATTCTGGACAGGTGTGCTGCTAGGCCCTGGATTAGAACAAGAAGGGAAAAATGATAGAAGCTCACAGGGACACTGACAGGAAAGTGCCTCTGAGGGCTGTTTGATCTGAGGCATGTACATAGACCAGTGCTCTTTCATGGGTTGTGACCAAAGTGCAGAAGTCAAGCAGCTGGAACTCATTTTACTTTACCTAGGAGGCCTCGTGAAGGAAAGGACATCTGAGGTAACCCCTGTAGCAGGGAAAGGAGTTGGGAAGAACAGTACAAGCAAAGAAAAAATAATAAAGAAAAACTCAAAGGCTTACCTTTCACACTCAAGACATGGGAGATGCTGAATGCAGCTCAGACTTCAGAGACATCTTAGGAATGACCAGAGACAGGCCACAGGGGAGCAAAG